CCGGGTCATATTTCCCCGGGATTGCAGTAGGGTGCGGGGGCATCGGTGTGTTGGCGGGGGTATGGAGCCTGCAGCTTGGGAGCTGGTGGTTTAGCTCTCAGCTCTTCCGCAGCTTGGCCTGAGGGCAGCCTCTGTTGCCCAAGGTCGCAAAGCATTTTCCCTGACAGGTTAGCCACCGGAGGTGGGCAGGATGGGCTGACAGGGTTGAGGCAGCCGCCAAGGCAGCGACGGAGGGGGCTGTCCCTGGCCAGCTGGTCAATTTGTTCCCATCTCAACCTTTGCTGCCCCAGTTTCACAGAACTCCCTTCTCTAGTTTATTCTTCTCCTGGGAGGTGGGCGCAGTGCATGCAGCCCAAGGTCTGGGCTTTCCCCTGGGGAGGGGCAGAACTCTCTTTTTCTCCTTTGTCTTTATTCTTCAGCGAAGTGGTTACTGGATGCAATTCTTAATTCTGAGAATGTGTAGCCTGTGTTACGGGAGAGCTGCTGGACAAGTGAATTTTCTGGGTGGATTTTCACATCAGCTGATGCCCCAGGCAGGCAGGAAAGCTATTACTCAGAGCTTCTTAGTCTGGAGTTGGCGGTGGCCCCGCAATCCTCACCACGCTTTTTAAAAATGTGTTACTCCCCTCTTTTTCCTAGGTGACATTTTAGGTTATTGGGTCACAGATTGCTGGCACACTCATCCCTGTTCTCAAACATCTTTTAAACATGGGTGAAGTGATAAGTAGGGGAAGATGATTTACTGAAAGGTAAGAATACTTAAATTCGCATTAAAGCTACATTCTGTCAATCTTTCTCAAATGATTTTTCTCTGATTCTAAATCCACGACCTAGTGAATGTTGTACTCCTGTGTAAATCATTGATCTTCACATCACATTTCTTGAGTGGTCAACGAGATTTGTTAATTAGATTATTCCTGAAAGGAAAAGTTCAGGCTTTTCAGAATTCCTTGTCTGATGTCACCCAGGCAGTCACAGTAGAAGACAGAGCTGATATAAAAATCCCTCAGCTGCCTGAACTGCAAAGCTTCTGGGATTACTGATCCCTGAAATACAGGTGACTCTTGATGGTAATCTGGGGGATGGTTTATATGATCAGATTCTTCCAGTCCTATAAATGGGTTCCATGGCCCCAGCCCCGGGAGAACTGGTCATAAGGGCCATATCGTGAGGGGTGGGATGGAAAGGCAAGGTGTAAGAGCTGGAATCACTGAGTTTCCACACTCACTAAACACAGACTCCAGAGCCTAATTGTTGTCAGATTCTCTTCTGGATTTGAGAGTGTGTTCATACATGATTCTTGCCCTTCTGGAGTCACTGCCTGGGTGGAAGTAACCTTTACATAAATCTGTGGAGGATGACAATTAAGTAGATGGGCTGTTATGGTTCTCAGAGTGCCCAGGCTTGCTCTTCCAGGCACTCGTGGGACTAACGAGAGTCATGTTATTCACTCTTTCACTGATTTATTACCCTTGAATTGATCACTCGTCCCACAGTAAGTGAAACATGGGATCAGGAACCTGAGTTTTGTCCCCTCTCCTATCACTGATTGTATCTGTCAGTCGGGCGCCCTGCGTATGCATTGTGAAATGGTGATATTTCGTGCCCAATGGGGCAGCACTGTCAGTTCTGAGAATCAGGGTAGACACGTGGGTAGGACAGCACCCTGACACACATGGCACCCCCCCACCCCGTGAGACAGCATTGTCGATGCTCAGGTGACCCGATGTAGACCGCGGTGCTAAACCTGAGCATGTTTAGTGATCCTGGTGGCTATGAAAATACAGACTACCGGTCGCTACCTCTGGAGACTCTGAGGGTGTGCACCCCAGAATACTGCACTTTAAGAAGCACTTTAACTAATTCTGATGATGAGATCTGAGTGTCCCACTGAGAAACACTGGTGTCCGAGGCACCAATATTGAGGATTCTCAGGGAGCGATGTCTTCTCAGGATGGTCCAAGGGCCCTCACTTGAGACTTTTGCCTTGGGTTTAATTGTATGTGTTCAGAAGAGATGTCTTTCACTTCCAGTGCTTGTCAGCATGCTCTGTGCAGGGATTTGCTCTCAGTAGATGGCAAAAACTACGACTCTTCAGGTCACCGATCTACAGTGTGAACGATATTTTATTTTGGTTTTCTTTATAGCAATGCAGAGTCTCCCGAGAAGAGATTCAGACTGAACAGCTTTGTGTCAGACCTTGGAAGACTGCTG